GTGTGGTGTCTGCGGCAACGTCGGGCATAACTCCAGAACCTGTCAAGTAGTTATTACTTCGTCTGAGGAAGAGGAATCTGAGTAATTCCAAACAATTCAATGTATGGTGGTTAAGTATAGGCCGATTATGTTGAGGTGGTCGGGTTGGAGTGGCCAGCTCGCTTATCTGGCCAGCTCGCTTATCTGGCCAGCTCGCTTATCATCCACGTTAGTATATCCGCGTCGATAGAACTACGTATCGAGCGCGTTAAAGTAGAGATCTTCCGTAAGATAGTAGGTAGAAGGAGGAGAAGTAAAAGGTATAGGCGGAAAGCCTAGGAGTAGCGCGTTATCGCCGTCGCTATCGAATCTAGAGTCTATCTAATCGCCGAGATAGTCTATAAGCGCTTTATAGTTCTACTCTAGGTCGTCGGAATTACTACTAACGAGACCAATAGGAGAGGCGGGTTATTTTATAGCGAATAGGTCGATTTTAGCTATAAAAATAGCGTACGGAGTATATAATAGCCCTCTAACCTTAATTAATAGACTAGCCTTCTTTCGGTATACCTGCCTATTATTTATAAGAGCCTAATTAGGCATATCTACGAAATAAGCACCCCCTATAGATATAGAAGTGCTAATTAACTAATAAGGAGCCTCTCTCAATTAACCTTCCGCATGAAGTTTAGCGAAACACCCATGGGTGCGAAATAAACACCCATGGGTGCGAAATACTCATAGCCGATTGTACGGAAGACTTGTCATATTTCAACGGGGCCTGGGGCCTCGTCAGACTATATACTTAAGTGCCTAGTACGGAGTGTGTACGACGCGCCTCGTTAGCGCGTCGAAGCACCTTGACGTCTTTACAAGCCTTGGCAGAGCACCGAGGCACGTGCTGTCACACCTACGCTATGGCCTTGTCATACCACGCAGGCTAGGACTCTACACCGGTTTTAAACCTTGCACCAGAGATGATTCACGACGCATCACGAACTCAGGCCGAGCCCACGAGGATCTTACCATGGGAATAAAAGGGTGTTGGACTTGCAGAGGTATACACAACAGAGAGGATAAGCTGCTATACAAAGACAATATGCTGATTTCTGCTTAGAGCGCAAAGTTCGATGTGACTTGCACCGGCCGACTTGCGGCAACTGCACCAAGGCGCGTCGTGTCTGTCAAGGCTATGGCATCCAGCTATCCTGGCCTCGAGACGGCGATAGAAAAAGAGCCATGATCTCGCGTGATACACGCCGCGCAGTGAATCCTTATCTATCAAACATCAAGAGGTTTCTAAATTCATCTTCCTGGGACATATCGCTATCAGAGGAGCTAGAGAACAGAAGAATTCCTGGTGATACATCACCTCTGACACACTATCAAGCTACTTGATACTAACGACCGTTATCTACAGCTCGTTACCTTCGGACCATGAAAGTCTCTCGCCCGACTTATCTGTCGCCTACCGCCATAAACAGCGAAGAGGCGCATTTATTAGGGTTCTGTATGTAGGGTGAACTTCTCTAGATCTCATCATCCCACTGACCAAAACACCCCAGTCAACGAATCCAGATCACTAATACTAGGACCAACCGACGAGGAGGTTTTGGCACAATTTATCTTGAGAATTGCCTTCTCAGATCCATCCAATACGACCAATCCAGTCCTACAAGGCGTGTTTGCTCTCGCATCACTACAGCTTTACGGTAACATGACGAGCTTTCGCCACAAGCATCTTGTCATTACTTCAGTTAAAGAGTCAATCAACTGGCTCGACGAGAAGACGCTGCTTCAGAACTTGATTGCAACGATGCTTTTATATCATTATGAGGTATTATAACCCGGTCCGCATAGGCTCACCATGGTCGTCTAATCATCACAGCTCTCCCTCGAATCAAACTCTAAAGGGAGTTGGATACAATACCTATGCGCAGTAAAAAAGATCATCAACACGTCACCAGCATTCCAAAAGCTAGTTCGGCAAGAATATTCCGTGTTCCTTGATTGGATTTATTATCACGAGGTCCTCGCAGAGTTCACCGTCAGGCATTGGAAGGTGCCCTATGAAGGTTGCGGCTTTGCCCCAATGGCAAGATCACCCAGAGCCATCGAGGGAAGTGTTTCAAGGGTAAGGAGAAGCCTTTGTGGACTTTCTTTGGCATCATCTAATCCTGCGATAGGTAGAGGATAACGTCGGCTGTCCAACCGATGTGCTCGAGCTCGTCGTACATACATGTAGACGAGCTATAGTCGCGAAACCCTCCGAGACGAATTATGCGAATGCTGGAACGGAGCGCACGAAGGTGCTGGAACAGAATATTTCCAGGGAAGTGGGAGATTATGGCCCTGTTCACGTGACCCCGATTGACCGGAGTACTATGGTCTCCGATCTTCATCGACTCGCGTGCTTGATATATGTCAATCGGGTGGTTCATGATGTTTCAGGCACAGAGTTCCATCATAGACGACTTGTAAGAGAAGGAATATTGCTGATGACCAAAATGGCAACATGCCAGAACGCGTGGCCATTGTTTATTATCGCCTGCGAAGCAGTCAACGATGAGCAGCGCCTGGCTATCCTGGACGTTTTCGAACAAAGTCGGCAAGATCAAAGACGAAGATCAAGCCACATCCATCTTATTCAGCATATGGTTGAGGCTGTGTGGAACCAGCATGACCTCAATACGGAGAACAAAGTCAATTATCTAACAATCTTTGATACAGTTGTTGGTGGAGTTCCATTCATACCACCATTTGCCTGAGTTCAGGTCTTGGGCAACTATTCTGGAATTCTATCAAGATACTTGCATTCGGCTTCTAGACTAGAACCAATTGTTATTTCCACGATGTGTGACAAATTTTCCACTATCCGCTTCAGTCAAATTCTGAACCACCTGGAGTTGATCGGTGACTGATTCATCGACCGAAATCGGTCCGTCAACAGTTGGGTCGATTTTCCGAAATACGCTTAGCATGAATTTCCGTATCTCCGGGTCGCCAGTGACCGCTTTTGCTGTTGCAAGTCAGTCATGTGTGTCAACAAGATTCGCCTTGCGTATTGACTGACCAGCATCTGTGTTTACCCATCCTGGACTCAGAGACAGTGTCTTGATGCCTTCTGGGGCTAATTCAGAGGCAAACTTGGCCATAACAACGTTCATGCCAGCCTTGCTGGCAGAATATCCAACCACATTAGCAATGCCAGTGACACGAGTGAACTCGAGGTCTCCGCTCGGACTGGAAATGAATATGATCTTCTTCTCTTTGCCGTTGCGAACAAGATCGAGGAATGAGTTGATGACGTAGATGTTGCTGATAAGGTTTGCTTTGATCTGTGCGCGGTCAACTTTTGCTGTCATCGCTCTAATTGGCGCTGATTAGCTGAGAGATCATACATTCTCATTGATCTCCTTCTCCAGCGCTTCCTCCTTTCCATGACTACATTGTGTCAGCAATCTGAATTCTCAAGCGCACTAGGTCGTTCACTCACAAAGCAGTTGGGGGGAGCGCGCTGGTCTCTGGCCCTGCGGAGCCAGCGTTGAGTACCAAGACATCGAGCGAACCGGCCGTGGCTTTGGAAACTTCAGCGGCAGCCTGGGCCAATTTTGCCGGGTCGGAGATATCGGTCAGTACAATATGGATGTTTTTGCGCTTTGAAGCAAGCTCCTCAAGCGGACCGGCAGTTGATCGACTTCGAATAATAGCAAACACTTGGTTCTTCGGATCTAGAGACTTTTAAAGGCGCTGTCAGTGGCATGCCTTCACCGCACCTATGATGATCGCGATAAACTCACAAGGTTGTCAACGAAGCCAAGCTATAAATATATTTTTATTAGTATATCAGGATATGGTTGAGAGGCTGATGAAGAACATACACCAATGCCTCGCGTCGCGCCAGTGATAGCCCAGGACACCATTTTCAGTTTTGGTTGATATTAGGCAGCAATAAGTGACTAGTATGGAATAATGAAAAGGGATTATGATACATCAGCAGAAGGGGGATCTATCGCATCCTCTTATACCTATTGCGGGACCTACTATGATATGCTGTGGAAGGAGTATCTAGTGAACAATACTGTAATCACTAGAAACTATTTCCGAAGTAACATTAATAATTCATGTTGAAGGTGTGCGCTGACAACATCAACAGCGCATGGTGGTAGGATTATATAAAGTAAGGCAACTTTCTCCGACTCTAGCAAATATTGAAGGTGGAGGAAGCCGCGCCAGAAGTCTGCCAATCAAGTCTTGATCGCCACAGCACCTTAGCCGACCAACATCATCCTTGCTGTAAGGTGGCAAACTTAGTGCTCAAGGTGCGCCATCCTTGCAGATGGATTTCCTAGCTCTTTCATTCTCAAGCAAGACCTCCTTACACACAACCATGGCATCTACGAGTGACGTGCCCAAGCACTGCGCAGGCAGCTGAATCCATTTCCGTGGATTGATATCTTACACGACAAACCAGGGCGAGCTATATTAGACTCTGCGTTGTCACATGCGGATGGTAGAGCAACGTCATGAACTGAACAGGACTGCTCACGCCTCATTCGACCTCCAGAATGCATTCGGCGAGAATGTTCGACTCTGCCACCGAGGAATAAGAAACCTCGTTGTCATCACTGGGAATTATATTGTGTAGGGGACGAGCACGAGCACAACCATCTCCAACTAGATGAGAATGAGGTCATTCTCACAGAGCCAACTGTTCATGAGTACTGTGGTGGTTGTCATCGTTCTTGCCAACGAGACTGTCAACAGAAGGACACCCAACCGTAAAAGAGGCTAATCTTTAGAGCTATATCCCACATTCCCGCTCCTATTCTACCTACAACATGTAGCGGAACTCTGGGTTTCTATGACACAAAGACAACTTGTTCTCGACGCCATCAAGCCGGTCATCTCTCTTGCCCATGGATCTGACCTTGTTCTCATACAGGCAGTGAGCAATGCCTACCAGAGCGCATACGAAACAGAACAATTGCAGTCCGAGGTTGATAGAGTGACCTCTGTGAAACAGCGGCGAGTCGTCGGGGAGGTAAGTCCAGCTAAGATGAAGGTTAACCACCGAAGTGAATCAAGAACCATGGGTTACTCACGTGGACAAAACACCTCCTACACTTCCAATGCTCACCATGTATCCACTAGCCACGGCGGCCGTCGCCGGACTGCCGGCATCTGCGTCTGGTCAGAACATGTCCTCCCCTCCCCTCCCCTTCGGCTTCACAATACTGCATTGAGGGGGGCAAGACAAGACTCACTGTTGATTCCCCAACTTAACATTCCCGCACTGCCGGCAAAACAGCCGATTGCATTCAGGAAGACGGCTGCATATTTGGCATCGGGGTTGGACGAGAATCGGAGGATGGCAAACCCTGTGATGCTGGTGGGGAGAATGCCGGCGATGAAAACACCTCTCTGCTTGGCTCGGTCGCTGCAGTAGCCGAGGACGATGGTGAGCACACAGGCGACCAAATATGGGGGCACTGATTTCAGCTGAGCTTCGGTCGAGGTCCATCCAAACTCCTTGAGGATGGTGGGGATGAAAGCCCCCATTCCTTGCACGGCCGAGTTGGTGCAGAAGAAGCAGAGGGCGCACACATTGGTGTGGACGTTGAAAATGGCGAGCCTGACATGCCGCCAAGTGATGCGCTCCTTAGGGCTCTGGGGAGTATAAGACGTTATGATCAGCGCGGCACAAGGCATGCAATTGGACTGGACTGTTCCCGCTCACCATGTCGAGGTCCCGACGTAGCCGTTCAGCAGCTATGTAGCGCTGTCGGGGAGTCAGGAAGCGGTAGGTGCCAGGACTCTGAGCCATAAAGAACGGGGCGGCCATTGCAATGAGCATTGTGATCTGTCCATCGTCAGCCAAAGCCGGACCAGTAGGATCAGTGTGACTGACCAGACCCTCGAAAAAGAAAATGTTGCGCCATCTGATCCGCCGTCAGAGACACATTGACACAGTGACAGCCGCCAGCAGCCGTTGGAGGCTTGGTCGTACATACCTTTCGATCGGTACCGCGTTGGTGCCCCATTTCGGAACATGGCTGATCAGGAGGCTTAGCATGAGAGTTTGAGTCAAGTCTCAAGTCGGGCAAGACTTACGACAGGCCGGCGGCGAGCAAGCCCCCAAAGGAACTGGCCAGGGAGCTGGAAGAGATGAAGAAACTCATGCGGAAGAACAGTTCGTTCCTTTTGTACATGGAACTGAGGATCCATGCTACAGCTGGCATGGCTCCTCCTTCGAAAATTCCCAGGAAGGTTCGGGTGACGGCGAGACCGGCGTACGATTGGACGAAAGCGGTGCAGAGGGAGACCAGGCCGAAAGAGAAGACGAGGAACGGGACTGGCCAGGTCAGAACCTCCGCACAGAGCACAAGCCGAGGGTGGGTGACTTACGGTACCACTTAGGACCAACGTGTTTCAAAACAACATTGCTAGGAACCTCGACACTGCCGCAGGATCAAGATCAGCCTGGAGCCCTGCCAGAAGGAAGATAAGACAGCTGAGGACACGTACGCGAGGTAGAAGCAGAAGAATATACTGAGGACGATGTTGTATTGGTATCCGACAAGATGCAGCTCTTCGCCCATACCCTCGATACGAGCATTGCTGTCGGATGCCGATCAGTTCTGACGCCGTCCTGATGCTGGTAGCAGCAACTCACCCAATGTTCGAGCTATTGTCCCCATCAGCGCGTGAATAGTCGACCTCCAGGCATGTTAACTCACCGGTCAATGGCACAACACAAGTACAGCAATGTGATGAGTGGGGTGATGGTGAAGTCAAACTTCCTGCGCACCGCGGCCTCTTCTTCGGGAGTCCAGTCTCCGACGTAGTCAGCCGCGATGGTCGAGTATGCGCCCTCGCTGATGGGCTCTTCCTTGTCGGAGCCAGGCACTTCCTTGAGCGTGTCCTGCATCTTAGTGTCGGCGGTCATATCGTCGTCGGAGGTGAGGTGGCACAAACAAGCGGGCCTGGGACTAAGACTACGATAATACTACCGATGAGTCAAACTCGTGAGCAATAATAATACTACTACCATGAAGACGAGTCCCCAGCCGCCCTGCAGGGCGTCTTATAACTATTCATTTGGCTCTCGTCGCTTCAAATGTCTATCAATCAACATGTCTGGCCTGGCTGGTGGCGGGCCAATCAGAGCCTCTCGGGACGCTACCCGATCTCGCACCCCTATTGTGATAGGGAACATCGCCGGGACTGGGACAAAGCTTAGGCTAGACGCTTTGGACACGGTATGTACGCCTCTCTTCCTTATCTCGTGGGGTCAAAGCCCTCACATATCGCGACCGGGTTTATCCAAAGCAGCGCCATCATCGGCCCGCGTCTTCAGAACGAAGCCTGCCACATGGTCTCCTGATATACAGGGTACAGATACATCGGGGGGAGGACGGATCATGGCTAATCATATATTCACTGGCCAATGCAATGCCGGTGTCCTAGCTACACACTTTCCATGGCCATACTCTCTTCAGCCATCAGGGCAGTCTCGATCCAATGTCGGTCCATGTCGATGCCGATGGAATCCAGGACCTCTGTCCACAATTCCACATCATCGTCCAGATCTACGGGCCTGGAGCTATCTCGACTCCTGTTCTGCGCGCCCGGCGTAAGCAAATGGGTCGGTGACAGCTGAGATGATTGATCTGGAGGCAGTGGGTAAACTATTGGTTGCTGTTCTTGTAGGAGACTGTTGCTGCGGTCGCCACTCCCCTCCGGCCCGACCATTCTCGACTTGATGGTGTCTCTGATTTTGGTGAGGAGCGAGTGACATGCCCGAATGTATTTGTTGCCCCGACCGGCCATACCTTGCAGGACGAGCAGCGAAGTATTCATGGCCACGGCGTCCATTTCTTTGTATGGAAACGCAATGTTGACCATGACGAGGAGCAGCGCGGCCGAAAAGGCCTGTTCTCCGTCTATGAACCCGTAGGTGGCTATGGGCGAACAGTGAGAAGCCAGGGAGAGCGGGTGCGCCAACGGGGAATGCAACTCACCGACGAGATTGAACTTGGCAGCGTCTTTCAAGATGGAGGTGCTAGATCTCGCTGCTGCGATGGCCGCGTGGATGATGCTCACCATATTTGCCGGCAACCCATCCTCCCATCGCGCCGTGGTCGGCCGCTGAGTTTGTCTCTGCACGGCATACAGCAACAGCGGTCGGGCCGTCATGTTGATACACTGATAGTAGTACAGGTACAGCGAAACCCCCTCCCGGTTCACCTCTTTTTCCCAATCGGCAGGCTGGAGGCGCAGTTCGTCGGGGATTTGGCGATACCAGTCGGACAGGCTGTTCATGATGTTCTGCACCGATGCCGCCAGACTGGTCCCGGACTTTTGTTTCCGCCGGTAGATTTCTTCTCCAATCCGACCCAGAATCCTCGATAGCCGAGTGTAACATGCGAGGATGGCCGGCAGCCGAGGATGCTCCCCCTCGGTCGGGCTGGGGAGTGAGACGTCAATGTCGTCGTCTTGGATAGAAATAGGATGGCCTGATGTCACGCAAAGCAGCCTCTCCAAGCTGTAGGTCGACCACCAGACTCGGCGCCGTCGCTCGCGTTCAAAGGCACCAATATTTTGGTCCAAGACCTCCTGGTGCAGACCGAGGGAAACGGCCATGCGCAGCGCGAGGCCGAGGTAGAGGTAGGCCGCATCCCTTCGATTCAAAGCCTGCATGTAGTACCCGACATAACTCAGAACCTCGACGAACAGGATGGAACTATCCTCGTGCACGTCGGGCAGGAATTTCAAGGCGTGTTTGAAGTAGGCAAAGCCGGGAGGGCCGTCGTTTCCCGTCCACTGATTGACCGAGTACATCTGGCCCAGGGCAAAAACCAGGAGCACCTGGCAGTAGATGAGGCAGTCATCCTTGTCGCTCAGAATCGGTAGCCGCGAATACACGTGCTTCAGCCGGACGTTGAAGTCGTCCTCGCTCAGGAAGGAGAAGATGGTGCCAATGTAGGCGTGCTGCGCAAGGTATAGATGCCTGGCAAACTCGTATGGCGGTAACTGAGGGAGCTGGCCGTCCACGACAGTGCGTCGTAGCCATGAGGCATCGTCGTAATGCGGATACATATGCCATGCCAGCGTCTCCGTGGTCGGGTTCAGTCTGTTGGCAATGTATGTGGACGAGGAGTTGCCCATGTAATCTGCAAACATACGCAGTCAGCACCACCAGACACACACAATGCGACGGCATTGTTGCATACAATACTGTCCCTGGCGGCCGGCAACCCAGTTGTCGGTGCCGGTGAAAGCGACAATGTCGACATCTTTGGCGATGTTGTCGGGAGGATTAGGATTAGGATTAGGATTGGCAACCGGCTCTCGACTTTGAGCAGCCACAGCTTTTCTGGCCTGGGCTTGCAGGTTATGGAGATATCTACGGCCCTGTCAGCACAGCCGGCCTCGCCATCCCCGCCATCCCCATCAGGTCGCGCGGTACGTACCTTTCAGGCACAGTGACCCTCTTCTCCGAGTCAGAATAGATGCAGGGCTGCTTTGCATCGACACACGCCGCACAAGGATCGGGAAATGTGCCCGCACATTTTGTTTTCCTGCCTCGGCATCGATCGCAGCTGTGTGCTCGCCCCCTAGAAGTCAGTGACAGTACCACTCGGAAAGTCGGGAGAAGGGCAACGGGAACGGGGGCTCATACGCGACCGACGAGCGCTTGAGGGCGTCGTTGGAGGGACGGCGCTTTCGGGGAAACACCATGGATGGCATGCTTTGCCGGCTTCGTTCTCGACTCTCGACGAGCCCGAGATTTGGGAGACAAGATAACGAAGCTGATGGTTTATGTACCGGGCCGATGGCTCAGGCAATGTCGGGGCCCACAGGCCGATACGGGTCCAGCGTCAGCTTGATCATGTGGAGCCTGGTTATCTACAGTATCTAGTATCCGTACAGCATCTACATACTATCGATCATCTATCGATCAACAGGACCTGTTACGTGAGAGCCAGACCTGTCCACTCCCGACTGCATTCGGCGTGCTCCTGGACCGCATTGCCAATGCTCCCCTTGTGCCAGGAGAATGGTGTGGCCGGCGCCTCCTATTCCTATTTAACCAAGGCTCCAGAATACTACGAGAGACGAGACAGCAACCAGCAACCTTGGCCCGAATCAATCCAATCGCCTTCAGATGCAGGTCGTCGCCGCTCTGCTTCTCCTTGTAGGAGCATTGGGCCTTCTCGCCAGATTCGTCCGGTCCTATCTTCATCTGGCTTCAATTCCTGGCCCATTTCTCGCCCGGTTCTCTGACCTTTGGCGCTTTCGTGCTCAGAATTCCCCGGGGTACTCGGCCAAACTGGTCCAACTTCACCAGAAATACGGGTATCTTGTGCGGATAGGGCCAAATCACATCAGCATCAGCGATCCGGATGCCGTGCCCGTCGTGTATAGCACCAAACCGGTCTGGGTCAAGGTAAGGGAACCACGTCCTGTCCTCGGACCCAGAGCATATCGGCTGACCTGACCACCACAGGCGTCGTCGTATAACGCCGCCGCACCCGTCAGTCAAGGACGCGCCGTGCCCAGCATCATCGCCATGAGTGAAATCCAGCACTCGGCAGTGCGCAGATCGGTCGGCAGTGCCTTCACCACGAACTCACTCCTCGATTACGAGGCGTCGATCGAAGCGTCGGGCAAGGACCTACTCACATGTCTGGCAGAGCAGCCAACCACAGACATCTCACAGCAACTGCAGCTGTTTGCCATCGACGTCTTGATGCGCATGGCCTTCAGCGAGTCGCTGGGGTTCATGCAAAAAGGAGGCGATGTCGAAGGCCTTCTCGCCGCCATCATTGCCCGCTTCGATCACTGGGGCCACTGGGCAGCCATGCCGGGCCCCGACTACTTCTTTTTCAAGGCACCATGGACCTCCCTGTTCAGGAAGCAAGCTGACAGCCCGCTGGCCCGGGTGAGCCTGGCAAAGCTCAAGGCCCGACCCGCCTCCAAGAGTGTGCTGGATCTGGAGAAGAAGGATCTGCTGCAGAAATTTCTCGATGGACAGGCCAAGCACCCGGATCTCTTGCCTCAGGATTCCGTTCTCGGTATCATCATGTCGACCATCGGGGCGGGAGCCGACACCACGGCGGGGACCCTGACCTATACGTTCTACCTGCTTTGCAAGCATCCGGTCGCTCGGGACAGCCTGGAAAAGGAGCTCGAGCAGGCCGTGGACAACGGGATCATGTCGAACCCGCCCCTGTGGCACGACGTGCACCGACTGCCCTATCTCGACGCCGTGCTCAAGGAGTCGATGCGGTTGTTTCCCATTGCGGCCTGGGGCTTGGACCGCGTCGTGCCCCCTGGAGGCGCCACCATCGCCGGTAAATACATTCCGGCAGGGACAGTGGTCGGCTGCCAGATCGACGCGGTCCATTTGGACAAGGAGGTCTATGGTCACGATGCCGCCAAATTCCGACCAGAACGGTGGCTGGAGGCATCTGAGGAGCAGAGGCGACGCATGGACCGCGCCTTCATCGCCTTCAGTGCCGGCAAGCGGATTTGTATGGGCATCCACATAGCCTGGCTGGAGTTGAAGAAGGTCGTGCCGCTTATCATGCTGCATTTTCGTGTAAGTCTCTCGCCCGTCATTTGGCCGCCTCATCCGCATCCGTCCAGCTGACCCTGACCGCCAATGTTGGTTGCAGATGGACCTTCTCAATCCCGACCAAGCCCTGGAGGATGAAATCCGCGTCAGCGCGGTCAAGTATCCTCCTCCCATCTGGATGCGTCTTCACAAGAAGTAGATGGCGTCTTGTGGTAGAGACAGTGCTTTACATGGCACACCTCGATCGGACTTCATGCAGAAGTCGAATCTAGTTCACCATTTCATTTCTCGCCTTCTTAATGCCTCTGCAGTGGACTAGTAAAATCTATATATTTGCTCCTCAGCAAAATTGACACCAATAGTTCTAAGCATGGGCATTCCCTGCCCAAGTCCTTTCAGCATACAATGGTAGTGATATCTTCTCAGTCAAAGGCACTGCCTGGACTCTTTTGCCAGAGAACAAGGAGCGTCTCAATCAATCCTACGAAGTTGGTAGGTTGATCTCAAGATCATTTTCTGTGCTACCTGGGAAACCATACAAGGCATCTCTCAGTGGATGCCATTCACGCCATTCACCTTCACCTTAACTTTGTCTTCCTTCCTCCCCCATCCACCTCCGCCAGGGGTCATGATGACCACCCGATCTCCTGTCTTCATTGGGACACTGCCTTTGCCACCCATGTTCACCACCCTCTTCTGACCTGTCCACTCATCTTTCGTCAACCATAAATTCAACCCAGTCGCACCCGACTCACCGCCTTCCAAGCCGTACGGCCGGTGCACTCTTCTCTCAGATAGAATGGAGCATTGGACTGGTGTCAAGAACTCAATCTCTCGGAGCGCCCCATCTCCACCGCAATGAAGGCCCTGTCCGCCTGACCCTGTTCTCAGCTCAAACTTGCGGAGTATGCAGGGATATCTCTTCTCAAGGATCTCCGGGTCTGTGATGCGTGTATTGGTCATATGTGTATGGACACCACTCTCGCCCTCCCAGGTGCGACCAGCGCCGGCACCACCGGCAATCGTCTCGTAGTAGCCAAAACCCCGTACGGTCTCGCCGCTGATAGGGTCCTTGATCTCGTCGATGCCAAAGGTCAGGTTGTTAAGACAGCCTTGGGATGCTGCGCAGGCATGCAGTGCCCGGAGAACGACGTCCGTCACTCTTTGGCTGGTGGTCACGTTTCCACCCACCACGGCCGCCACTCGGGTAGGGCTTAAAATACTCGGGCTCGGAATCTTGACTTGGACGGCAGCCAGGCACCCTTGATTCAGGGGAACGTCTGCTTTGATCATACACCTAAGGGCGTAGATGATTGCCGAGTGCGTAATGGCTTCGGGGGCATTGATGTTACCATTGACCTCAGGCCCCGTGCCAGTAAAGTCAAAGACGGCTGATCCATCCTCCTCAATGGTGATCTTCAGTTTGATCGGCGTACCATCGTCCATAAAGTCGAGCGCTTCCAGGGGCGCGCCTCTGTATTGGTGGTATAAACCTTTCAACAAATTTCGGACCGCCAGCTCCGCCGTCGACTGGATGGCGTACATGTACATCTGCACCAAGTCCAGCCCGTACTCCTCGATCAGGGCCCGGATCAGCGTAATGCCTCGAGCGTTCGCCGCTATCTGCGCCTTCAGATCGGACAAATTGTCGCTAATGTTCCGGCTACCAGAACAACCGGGGAACCTAGCCGGAAGATCCAGGAAGAGCTCGCGCATACGCGCCTCGTTAAAGACGCCATTTTCCACAACCTTTTCGGACTCGATGGCGGTGCCCTCTTGCCACAACTCAGTGGAGTTAGGGGGCATGGATCCCGGAAGAATACCGCCAATGTCGGCGTGGTGTCCTCGTGAGGCGACGTAAAAGATGATCTCGTCCGTGCCGGGATTGAAAACCGGCGTAATGACCGTCACATCGGGGAGATGGGTGCCCCCGGAGATAGGATGATTGGACACCAGCACGTCGCCGTCTTTAAGGTTACCCAACCAGCGCCGATGCTGAAAGCGGACGGCGAATTGCATAGACCCGAGATGGACTGGAACATGAGGAGCATTGGCCACCAGACCGCCATCGGGCGAGAACAAGGCGCAGGAGAAGTCGAGCCGTTCCTTGATGTTGGTGGATACGGCTGTCTTTTGGAGGGTGCGGCCCATTTGCTCGGCCACAGACATAAAGCGGTGACCAAATATCGTGAGTCGAATCGGATCTACCAAACGTCCGGCAGCATTGACTTCGATATGACGTGGAATAGACGCCAGGTCAATCAGAACGCACGTCTGAAGCACATTGGCGGTGGCGTTTGGGGCAACCACTATTGTTTGGGTATTGTCAATGATGATCGCCGGCCCGTGAACTTGGACATCAGTTCCTAGCTCGTGGAGGAGGTAGACCGGGGTTTGCATGAAACCATGTTGGGCGTCAAAATAGACGTCGGTGTGCCGTACGGGTTTTCCAACAGGCTTGAGTTTGGCCTCCTTCAATTGCTGCAGTGGACTCTTTTCCACAACCGATTTCGAAGACGCAATTGCTCGCACGCGGATGTCGTCCACTAGGATTGGACGCTCAAAGCTGAAGTTGAACTCGCGGCGGTGCCGCGCGACGAAAGCCGAGGCGAAGTCACTGTCATCCGGCTTCAATATCATCAGACTTGTATCCGATCCTTCGTACCTCATGTTGAGAAAAAGCTCGTGTCTGATGTGCTCCTTGGTGAACTTCTGCTCGAAGAGCTGCTCAGAAGCCCGATCAACCAGGGCCTGGAATTTTTGGGCGATCAGATCTCGAGAAGTGATGTATTCTGCGGCCATCGGTTCTTGTGTCTCGTGCACCACTTCAGCAAGTGCCAGACCATATGCGGACAGGATAGACGAATACTTGTGGACAATGATGCGCGAAATCCCCAACGAAGCGGCCACGTTACAGGCGTGTTGGCCTCCTGCACCCCCGAAGCAGGCCAGATGATGCGATGAGGTATCGTAACCGCGGGCTTCCGTCAGATTTCTGATGGGGCGTGTCATGGACTCGTCGGCGACCTTGAGGAATCCTAGCGCAATCTCCTCGGGCGAAAACTTTCTGGCACTTTGCTGAGCATTGATCTCTTCCGTAAGCTGTTGGAACTTTGTCCTGGTGATTTCTTGATCAAGAGGTTGATCTTCTGACGGGCCGAATATTTTGGGAAAGTAATCTGGAAGCAAGCGACCTAGCAAAAGGTTCGCGTCGGTCACCGTCAATGGACCTCCCTTTCTGTAACAGGCCGGGCCAGGGTGGGCAGAGGCAGACTCTGGCCCGACCAAGAACAGACCATTCCGCCACGACAGAATAGAACCCCCTCCTGCCGCCACGGTGTTGATGTCCAGTTGCGGTGCCTGGATACTGACACCCGAAATGTTGGACGAAAAGGTGTGTTCCAGGTGACCGTCGAAACGAGAAACGTCCGTCGAGGTTCCTCCCATGTCGAAACCGATGATCGGCACCCGGGCCTCCGGGTCCCAGCTGGTAGCGGCATAGCCAACCACACCCGCTGCAGGGCCGGACAGGATCGCTTTAAGCCCACTGAACTTGCGAAAGTCGACGAGACCTCCGTCGGATTGCATGAACTCGACTCGACACCCATGCTCACCTGCCAGACCTCCGTGGAAGTTGGCAGATATCGAATCGACATAAGATTTAATCACCGGGGTAAGATAGGCATCCGCAGTGGCCGACATACCTCGCGGGACGACTTTGATCATTGGTTGTAAGACGGACGATAGAGCGACCGACAAGCCCAAGGTAGTGGCGATCTCTCCAATCCGGATCTCGTGCTCCGGACAGGCGAATGAGTTGACGAGGGCGACCGCTACTGACTGGAATCCCAGATCTTTGAGCCGCTGCAGATCGGCGGTAACCTGAGGCACGTCCAGTTCTTCAATGACGTGGAATCTTTCTCCTGTCACAGCCGTGACCGATCTGTAGGGCGACAGTGCATCTGGCGAGGATCTGGGGTGCGACGGAATGATGCGCTCATTCACCTCCACCACGGTCTCAAAGAGCACATCGGGCCTCCTCGCTGACAGGTCGAAAATGTCCGGTCGAGCTTGATTGCCGATCCGCAACAGGTCTCTGAAGCCTTTCGTGGTCAACAACGCCGATTTGGTTCCCTTGCGCTCAAGCAATGCATTCGTGGCCACAGTGGTTCCCATACGTAGACAGCCTATGCTGTCTAGGCTGAGCGGAGCCCCTCGGGGACTGGGTCGGCCAGTTGCTTCGAGCACTCTGCGCACGCCCTCTGTGGGAGCATCTTGATAGTTGCCAGGATCAACAGACAATAACTTGAGGACAATGTCAGGCTTCCCAGGCACGATAGCGTGGACATCGGTGAAAGTGCCTCCTCTGTCGATGGATATCCTGATCTTGTTCTCCATGGCGGGTATCTTACGGCGCTTGTCTTTCTGTCGTTGCAAGGGCCCGACCAAGTTTAAATATTGGAAGGCAGGTAATCTTTACGCAAAGGTTCTCTCGCCGTGAATTTCAACTTGTACTTCCTCATCGCGACTGTTGTTTCTTTGAGCAATCTTCAAGATCCTGGTGGGACTTGATCGGGAGCCCCAGTCCGCCACGGGTCACGTGTCGGGATCGATTGACCGAGCCGAGTCGGGATGGAAGACATGATGGGTTCGCAGGGCGGCGAGGTCTCCGACTCGACAATCATGTATCCGGGAAGGCAGATAGAACTCGATCCTAGACCGGAATGAAAGACTCTTGGTTGGAGGGGCTGAACGTCGCTCCCTATCTACCCGACAATAGGTTGTCGAGGATAGGTTCTGCTGCCAGTGTCATGAAGCCGGACATTGCCTGCTAGCGTTACTGTAGATATCGAGGACGGTCTTTCTTCGGCCTCCAAATAGAGGCATCAAGATAGTTTGTCGCCTTCTCAGCTTCCGTCACGCAACAGGACAAAGAGGGTTCGAATTGGGAGAGATTGAAGTCCGCCGTGTCCGCATTAGCATTACCGCCTGTGGTCGGTGGCAGCAGGGGTGTGCCAAGGCTTAGGAGGCTTGTGAAGATTTCGACGTGCTTCGATGCACCTCGTACTCATCTCCCCAGACCTGATTTTAGAGTGACAAGATCTCTGTGAAATTACAGCGAAGGTGAGATCTAGGTAGGTAGTTGTGCAAGAGTGACTACACATGACAGGTGCTACTGCCATGCGACCATAAACGCTCCACCGTACACGTATCGTTCACGTGCTATCCGGGTACGCGCCTGCTAAGTTGGTGGGCACCTCTTTCGTGGGATCATTGCCTATTGTATCTATGCAATTCCTCCTGAGGTACTTCGTCTGTACGCTCTGTTTCCCCCCATGATCTATTACAGGGGTATATAGCTGTCTCATTATTACCGCTGCTACCATGGCTACTAACTGTCCCATGTATCGGTGTCCATCTCGGCGAGAATCAGGCGCCGTGATGCATCTTCTGCCACCCATTTCCCAATCCTTTCAACCGTGTCGCCGACCAGCTTAGAATATGTCTCTCCAATATTGAACAGAGACGTGTGCGCGACCACTTCGTCAATGCCTTCCATGTGCACTCGGATCCATGTGTGATCCCGCTCACCTGTCTGGCGGTTCCTGGTCGGGAGCGCACAGAACTTGCGGTCTTTGGGTTTCTTTTGGGTATCGGCTTTGTCTGTGTTTTCTTCATCGTTCATGGGTTCATCATCCTTCTTGGCGCTCATCTGAGTAGGGTGTTCGAGTTGATCCGTCTGCAGGTGAGTTGAGCCTCGTTCCTCATGTATGTCTTCTGTTTCCTGTTGAACCGATATATCCTTGTCTGTGACCCCATCCTGAAATACCTTGTCAATACCCAGATCTTCCATGCTAAGCGTTCTGAGAGTACCCGTGTCATCACACAACTCAGGGCTAGGTAAAGGAGGCTGACGCGCCATCTCACTGCTGGTACCCAGGCCTTCACCATGTTTCGTCTCAGCGCCCGGCGGAGGTGTGTTTTCCCCGGTAGAAGGCAGCATAGACACATTGGGAGGGCCATGATCCACCTTGAGGTCTGCGACATCTCTGGTGAGGTCCTGGATGTTTCGATGTTCTTCAAGCGACAGTTGAGGACTCGAATCTGTAGCCCCAAGGCTGCTGTGTGTATGGCCCACGGAAGATGTCTCCTCTGTGGCTGCAACCTCCAAGATGTCTGGTGGCTTTTCTTTGACCGGTCCTGTGCTTGCAGAATAGTAGTTTACAAACCTCACCCGCTTCAAGAGGCGGCCATTTGGCGCCCGACGTTTCATGGTCTCTTCCACATCCTCCAAGGCGCGAATGGCGCGGTAGCGCTTTATCAATCCCGGATAATCGGCAAGACAGCCACCGAATTCGAGATGGGAGGAGACGTAACTTCGAGTTGCCTTTGCCAACTCTCCAGCATGCTTGTTCCAGAAGTACCAGGCCTTCTGTAGCTTGCCCTTCCTGTTAGCCAAGTGGACATCGTTCTGATAAGAGGGGTTGTAAGTGGCATCTTGTGGCGCAGAAAACAGGTCTAGGTTCAGAGAAGCACCGGGCACCGCAGATTCTTTGATTTGAGGAGGAGTTCGAAACAAGCTGGCAATGCCCGTTCCGATGACGCCAGGGTGCATACCAAGAAATGGCGTGTCGAATGCAATGAGGCCTAAGATCTGGTGCTGGAAAAGGTGGCTTCCTGGATCGTTCGAGGGAATCAAAACCACTTCGGCTGCGAGGATCCCACCGAGACTGTGCCCGACGAGAATGATATCAGTCGAGTCCGATTCGTGCGCAGCAAGCCTGATTAGGTCAGTCGAACAATGATCAAGTCACAAGCCACCTCAGACAGACCAATTGCTGAGAGCATTCCTGGCGACGGCGATGTTCTCGCGAGACCTGTACCGCGGATAGATTTTGGTGTAGACGACATGAGTCGGTGCCAATGCAGGAGTCAACAGACCGTGAACATGCGCGGGGAAGCTTTTGAAGCTGGTTTCGTCGCCGAGGAATCCATGGATGTAGACAATGAGCAACGTCCGCCGCTCATCACTGGCCGACTTGACAGGTCCGAGCGACTGGGTAGAAGAAGACCGTGGGTCGTGAAAGCCGGCGAGATAGGGAGATTCGCCTGATGACTGAGAGTTGGGAGATAAATATGAGGATTGGTCTTTATCGCTACGACTGCGAAAGTTGGACGTCGCCCTTGGGGGGAGCGGCGGCGGCGGCGGCTTTGCTGCCATAATGGCAGCGCAGGCGAAGGGGGACGGGCATCAGATGCAACTGTTGAACTTGAAGTTGTCCCAATCCTTTGCCGACAACAAAACCAGCTTATCAAGAATACGGAGTACTACGTATTCTCAATGTCGGTGAAATGGCAGCCTAAACCTGCTTCGGCGTCCCGCCCCCGATCGGGTAGCACAGCCGCGCGAGATCCCTCGCCGCTTTCACAACGCCTATATATGTCGGGCACCTGCCCGTCTGCCGCGTTCCTACTTGTCTTTACTTATTTTTCGTGACTATTACACGACACGGTATCCGTCCAAACCTCGATTCCGATCCCTTTCTTCTACACCCCCTTCCTAGTCTACCTCGTTATCCAATAGCGAAAATCCCGCAAGCATGGCGTCACGTCGATCCTAGGTTCCTCCGTCCCTCTCAGGTCCGCCAACCGGGACTCGTTACAGGTAAACAGCCAGCCCTCGAATCGTTTCAGTTCCCCTAAATTTACCTTCTAGAACGAGTCTGTGCGTCGAGCCAGCCTTAGGCACATTCCTTTTCGGACGCGAGTAAGTTTAGCCCGAGCGACGTAGCTTGAAATCGCCTCTCGGAATTCCTTCACTCCCCCTATTGTTAAGAGTCGAGAAGCAAATACTTCTATATCAAGTTACTCACCATTAGAATACCTAGAATCCCATGCGCTTCAGCCGCTTGGGAACATCCCGGTGGTATGAGTCCCTAGATACGATACCGACTGCTGCGGCCGGCCCGGCAGGGGGTTTTCAGAATTCCGTGATGGCCTCTAGCCTCCTCCCCACTTAAGCCCTGAGGGACGTCCGCGCAGAATTCGCAGCTTCAAGACCGCTAGTCCGAGTCCTCCCAACTACGAGCCAATATCTGGCGCAGCGGTACGATAAACCAGCTGAGACGACCAGCCGGTCTGATACCATATTACTATCGCGTGTTGGCGCAAGGTCTATGCTCTTTAATCCAATTGCAGAAATGCCTTATGGGGTGACCTGCAAGCGGTTGAGGCAGTCACTCTATACCCCCGTCGACTGCACTCGACGGTGAGTCCAAGGTTGATGATTTTGGCGTCGAGTAGGCTGCCAAGCCCTGTTTCTGCCTCGCCGGAAGCTGACACGGCGTCTCAAACTGGATGTGGAAGGAAGAACGAGAGGGAGAGCGAGAAGGGAGGGCTGAGGTGAGAGAAACAGTTGAAGCTATGAATTACGTACAAGTGTGATGATGATGGATAAAACCATCTAAGGGAGAAGGGCAGATGCTTATACCCTTCTACCTACAGTGACCTTCTCGTGACCACCCCGTGATGCTGTATAGAGGGCATTAACATCCGCTCCCTTGTCGAGGAGTGTCTGCACCACCTTCTCGTGACCACGCC